AATTAATTACTCTTGAAATAATGCAGCAAGTACAGGTGTAAACCAATTAAAAATAAATCTTTAGTTTAAAAACACTTTTCCAATATATATTAATATCTTTTCAGTTATTTTTCACAAACATTTGTTGTACAGCATACAGTATATGCCATGTCTAAAATTAAGGAAGATTAATGAATTAATTATATTTAAAACAAACAAATACAACTGTAACACACAATAATAACTGTACACACACACACACACACACAAACACACACACACACACACGCACACACACACACGCACGCGCGCGTGTTTTGAGCCACAACATTATTAATACAGCTTCTTTTATTGATGTACCTTAAGGTAAATATTAAATTGCCATTGCTGTCTAGTGAAGGTGTGTGTGTGTGTGTGCTGTCAATGATGATCGGGGAGGGGGAGGGGCAGTGAATCAGCTATGAACAGTGGCACCAATCAATCCACAATAATTTAGTGGCTGCTATTTATTTATTGAAATGTTGTGAATTTACGTAAGTACACTTAAATTAATAAAATCAACAGCAAAATCATATTGGGGTGGCCACAGGGTTGGCAAGAGTTTTACACGGCCACCCCTTGGGGGCGCCCATGCACACCAGACGTGCACATTCGCATGCTATTGAAAATAAAACTATTCCGATGGCACACTGTGGTGATGCATCCGAAATATGAACAGTGTCATGAGTCGTGGCTGGGCGCCGGTGTGTGTGCACTGATAAAAACCTATGTTTAATATTCTAAAATGCATGGCGCTGCGTGGCACGACGCTTTTGCGTCGGCGCTTCTGGTGTGCGACCTGCTAAGTGAATTTCATTCTGAAGGGCTTATCTCTATGCCCTAATCTGAAACTTTACACTCATCTACTTGTGAGGTGTGCATTTTTGGTTTGTTTTCTGTTTTTAGATATTTTAATGTTTTATTTATTTTGAATGTTTTATTTTGAATGATTCAATTTTACTGTCACTTTAAATTGCTTTTATATCTGTATCTTTTTTTATGTAAATCGCTTTGAGAATTAAGTTTTAAAGGCACTATATAAAATAAATTCTTATTATTATTATTAATCCTTCGGATTAGGGATGAGCCCTTCTGATATGTGTGTAGTATGTAACACCAAACAGCTTCCCTGCACAAAGAATCATTTCCCGACGTGTCCAGCAGTTGTATTTTTCAAAATCATTCAATCTCTTCAAAGTGGCCAGTTTTGATTACTTCGTTTTGGAATGCTACTTCAATATGGCGGCCATGATTTTTTTTTACTCTGAAGTGCCCTTCGGAGAGTGATATATAGCGTGTATAATGCACACAAGTCACTGGGTGTCATCAACAGTTGCCTTTGTTTATTGTGAACATGCACCCTCTAATGCCGAATATTGAATAATAAAGGTGTTTGTTAATATGATCCTCATTTGCTTGTTGAGTTTTCAAGATAGAAACACAATTAATCTTCATAGTAGGTTTAAGTAATGTTTTTAATGTTATCATTTCAAAAGCTTATTCAACTTAATGTGAGTTTTTGTACCTATATTTTAAAACATTCATTCATTCATTTTCTTTTCAGCTTAGTCCCTTTATTAATCAAGGGTCACCACAGCAAACTGAACCTACAACTTATCCAGCATATGTTTTACACAGCGGATGTCCTTCAAGCTGCAACCCAGTACTGGAAAACACCCATACAGTCTCATTCACACACATACACAACAGACAATTTAAGCTTCCCCAATTCTCCTATACAGTATGTCTTTGGACTTGTGGGGGAAACTGGAGCACCAAGGAAACCCACAAAAACACAGTGAGAACATGCAAACTGACCCAACCGAGGCTCGAACCAGCGATCTTCCTGCTGTGAAAAATAGAAAAATAATTGCACCTTTTTTGTTGTAATAGAATCTGATATTTACAGTGTTTATTTAAATGAAACGACTAATAACGCATAATGTAGCTTTAAAACTGAGTAAAAAGCAAGTGGAGAATTACATAACAACATTATGGCCCACTAGAATAAAATCCAGATTACTAATAAACCGTAATCTGCATCCCCATCTGTGAGGATGTTGTGGTTGCATAAGCTATATGTTTTTTTGAGGACTAGTGAAACAAACATACCTTTCCCTGTGAATTAGAGATTGTTTTCATGCGCCCACAGGCACGCATGAGCACAAACATCTACTGTATATGCTTTTGGATGAGCTTTTTACAGCACAGTGTATAGTACATTAATATTATCACAGTGGTTCATATGAGTAACATGTTAACCTTTGAGAAATAACACAATCCAACTGAAAACGTTTACAATAGGAACAATCACTGTTCGTTTTCCAAAAGAGCTTGTAACATTCTGACCTCGGTTATTGCATCTTCCCCAACCTATAATAATTCTTCAGCTAGCTCAATCAAATTTCAACCTATTATGGCCATTGACAGCTACCAGGCCCCCCTCTTAATGATCTTATAGAAAAGTTATTCAAATAACCTTTTTCAATATGAAACCATTAAGAACCAGTTGTACAATGCAAGAATGTATTTCATTCTATAAGCTATGAGTAACCCCTGCAGAAGGTGTAACATTTAATTTTTCATTGGTAATATTACACCAATAATATATAATACACATACTGACAATAATGTCAGTGGATAATCCTTTTCATGCAGTGTTGCCAGGTTGGTAATGTGACTAATTTCTGAAATAATCCTCAGAAAGATTATTTCTGTATACCTTGTATCGTAGCACCATCTACTGGCAAACTAATTTCCATGAATAAAGACTGAAATATCGAATAAAAATAATCTGGCATTTCAGTACAATTACAAAGTAATAGCAGGGAATTTACAATATTTTACAGTTTATGGACTTTTTTTACTCAAAGACTCCCCATATTCCAGCACAATAATAAATATCCCTATATTTATTTCTGCTGTTATAAGGCTGCTTCTTTTTTTAATCAACAGAAACAATGAAGATTAGTTTATTAAAAAAAATATTTAAAATGATAGTAAATGACAATATTAATTTAATCCACAAAGTACAAAATACAGAGCTGTTTGAGAAGATCTAGCCTATACTGTATGTGCCAAATGTGTTCAAACAATGGTTCGGTTACATTTTAAAATAAATCTTAATACCCAGTTGCTTAGTTTGTTTATATTGTTTCCCATATTTGGGTTAAAATGTTAAAACAAATTATAAAGTGTAGTAGTTTGAAATGAACGATTTATTAGTTTTATAATTATTAATATGATTAGGACTGTTAAAATTAATTTATTCATTTTCTTCTCGGCTTTATTAATCTGGGGTCGCCACAGCGGAATGAACCGCCAACTTATCTAGCATAAGTTTTGCGCAGCGGATGCCCTTCCATTTGCAACTCATGTCTGGGAAACATCCATACACTCATCATACACACTCATACACTACTGACAGTTTAGCTTACCCAATTCACCTGTAGCGCAAGTCTTTGGACTGTGGAGGAAACCGGAGCACCCAGAGGAAACCCACGTGAACGCGGAGAGAACATGCAAACTCTACACAGAAACGCCAAATGACCCAGCTGAGGCTCGAACCAGCGACCTTCTTGCTTTGAGGTGACAGCACTACGTACTGCGCCACTGCGTCACCAACTGCTATAGTTATTAATAATAATAATACTGTGATGCATGTATATCTGTCTCATTATAAAAATTGTTAAGGCAAAAGAGTAAAAATACCAAATATTATGCATATTTAGATTTTCTAAACCTTGTTTTTAAAAGTATGAACTTAATTGAAAAATTGAAAGCTGTTTTACTCCCTGACCCTTTAATAGTAATTTTAGACTAGTCAGATTTTCTGGAGACTCTCAACCGAAATGTACGATAACCTAAAACAGTTATCCTTTGTTTCTACAAGAAAAATGTTAGGCCTCTTTTTTTGACTGTTTTCTTGGACTCATCTCCACTTTACATTTGAAAAGAGTTAGATATACCACTTCTGGGAACCCTACAAAATTTGATAAAATCCAGTCTTTAAAAAAAAAAAAAAAAAAGATTAATATTATTGTTGGATTTCTGAAGATTTGTACGTTTTTTTCTCTCTCTTTACATCTATTGCTGTGTCTTTTTGCAGGCAGATACAGTGCTTAGCATAGTTAAGTACACCCCATTTTGAAAATCAATATTTTGATCCATTTCTCAGTGAGTATAGGCAATGTATTTTGGTGGATTTAAAAAAAAGCATATTTATTAAACAGATATATTTATTAAATAATATTTTAGTCACCAAACATATTTAGAAAATGAAAAATAATGCAATTAAATTCAAGCAAAATATTGGGGAAAAAACAACAGCCCACAAAATTTCAACATTTTATATGTTGAATACACTTATATATGCTGAGCACTGTATGTCTTGTATGTCACAATTTACCCTTGTTTCATGCTTAATTTTACATTTTGCACAGATTATTGTTACATGATGGGTTTGTTTGTTCCTTGTTTTTTTGTGTCTACAAAAACTATAATAAAAATATATTAAAAAGAACTAAGCAAAAAATTTATTGAGCTTTAATTTTGTGCTAGATTTTGAGCCTGTTATGCTGAGATGAAATGGGAATCAATAGTTAGAAAAAACAAGTACAGAACATTGCCAATTCATACACTAAAATGGTATGATTTTCAAATTGGTCCCATACAGTTTTATTACGGTTACTGTCCAGGGTCCTGAACTCACTAGCTCGGTGCGGTATTGGGCAGGTGATAAAGCGCGCGGCCCATCTTAACACACGAGAACGGAGTCAAGGTTGATCAAGTCCTGGAGATAAAAGACAAAAATCTTTGTTTCCGCTCATTAGATAATAAACTCTATCCGGTATCCCTGATAACGATAATAGATTCGACATCATCCCACACAGAATGTCTCCATGTCGAGGTCGTCCACCCGCCCACAGTGAGTGCTGTGTTTGTGTGTGCGTGTGTGTGTGTGTGTGCGTGTGTGTGTGTGTGTTGCTCAGGGTGGAGCAGACATCTCTGATGGCGTTGAGTGGGGCGGAATCCGCGGTACTGCTCGCGTCTCCAGACTCGTTTCTCCCGGAAGTGGGTGGTTAAGTCGCCACTCGGTCACTGCTGGCTAACGAGCGATCGCTGGGATGAAGGAGAGTCGGGGACATTCTTGGGGCTGACAGATATCCGACGACACAGTTGTGAGATTTCATTTTTAACCAGTTAGTTGCGGTATATCCGCAGAAATCCACCACAAACGCTCGCAAAAAAGGCTCAGACACCCCGCCGCCAAGATGATGGAAGAAATTGACAGATTTCAAGTGCCGACTGAGGCGGAGATGCAGCCTTTTGTAAGTTAAACTAACGTTAGATTGACTCTTTAACGACCGATTAAAACGCAAATGTTGTATGTTTTCTGTTTGAATAACGATTCGATGCGCGAATTGTAGCTCAATAATATCAACAACCAACGACTCGACTGGATTATTTCGGGCTTCTCGTGTTGCGTCATCATAGACCGTTATGTTTTATATAAACAATAGCAAATATCTTATCTTATTTCCTGTGAGAGCTCGATGATGTCGCTCGTGTTTTTGCTAGCTAATGTAACGTGAAGGATGCTACAGTGATGCTGCGCACTGAGACTGCTTGTCTCCCTGCATCGAAAACAACATCCGCTTCATTTTTGTAACGATAACGTCAACTCAGCTTGTCCGTTTACTTCTCTTTGTTTCTAACGTAATTCTGTCTGTAACATTCATTTGAAAAATATAAACATTGCGTAATGTTTCTCCAATCTCGTAAAGGCCTTCGCCGTCTTGGACTGCTACATCATGCAGAATACGTGCTGTGGTACCTGAATGATGTCCATACCCACCACCCATCCCAAATTCATCAATAATTCTCAAGAAAATAGCCGGCTCTGTTTAAGGGGACGTGCATATAGTCCAAATTTAACCCATGACCCATACAGCAGATATGTCTTCTAGATGCTTCTGGTGTGGGTTTGCTCCAAAAGCCAGATATTACATTGGATATGAAGTGGAGACCTGAACTGTTTATTATACTGACATGAACAAAATGTCCCAATGATCTAAAATTCAAATACTATTAATAATAGCTTAATAATAATACATTAAAGTCTTGACAAAATATGGCAAAAGTATAAAAGAGCCTGAAAGGTAAATTGACAATGTTATGTAATGTAATGTTATCCATGCAAAAACTTATTTTGGATGGATGTGAACCCATTCTTGCTTGGTATAGCTAGCTTGGTGCATTATATACTACTGTACAATCATTAATATTATATAATAATTATATAATATAATAATGTTATATATTACATTATATTTGTATTAAATAAATGATAGACACTACAATGTACAGAGTGTTACACATAAAATATTTATTTTCTCCATTTTTATTATATGAGAAAAGGAAGGAAGGTCATGACATGTTTAAGGGTAACACACTTTTTTGTGCTCTGCATTTAACCCATTCAAGTGCATACACACAGCAGTGAATACACATACTAATAAGCTTGTGCTTCATCTCACTCCATTTTCGACCATGCTGAAATGTATTTTGTTAATGATATTTTGTATGATATTTCTGTTAGAAAATGAATAAATCAAATCAAATCAAAAATCATACCACATACACTGTGAACACACACCCAGAGCAGCGAGCAAGCATTGTTTCGGTAGCATTTGCTCATATAAAGTTCTTGTATAAGGTTTAAATTGCTCATTTTTTTGATTCCTTACTTATTTGAAATTGGCAAATTGCATTTTTCGATTCTGATTTTGTGTTTCCTTTCACATGAATCCCAAAGTGTAGAATAAGCTGACAGAAATCAAACAGTAGAAATGAAGTGATGTTTTACACGTCCTCATTGATGAGAGCAAAGCTGAAGAATGTACATCACAGAACAATGACTTAATCAATAAAAGTCCTGACAGTTCTCCCTTTTTTCCTGCTCTTTTCCTTCAGGATCCAGCATCATCGACTACATCAGAGGCAGACTCAGACACCAGAGAGAGTGAACCTGCCACGCTCAACTACAAACCCTCTCCTCTCCATATGAAGATAGGTGAGTTGTGGGTTAGCCTATACTCAGAATACTAATGTGATTGTGTAATTATTTGTATATAATATGATTAAATTATGAATACGTCTTACTTTTTTTTTCTCTGTACAGACAAACAGAGAGAGCTGGTAAGGAAAGGATCACTGAAAAATGGAAATGCTGGAAGCCCTGTCAATCAACAACCTAAGAAAAATAATGTGATGGCTAGAACAAGGTACAAACAAGACAAATGATGGATATCTAAGAATAAAAGAATCATTTTTAAATTTAAAAAAGGCAAGGCACATTTGTTCACTCGTATGTCATTCCAAATCCATCATACCCTCATTGTAAACAATGTTTACAATTCTAAAAGAGGAAGTGCGATTTTGCAGCGCATCTAGTGTGCAACCCCCTTACCACTTTATAATAAAAGAGGTCAAATAAAATATATAATTTACAGCCAAGCCCAAACTTATTCATTCCCCTGGGGTATGGATAATTTCAGGCTTAACTGTATATATGGAAAAAAAAAAACACGACTTGAATTAACATTTAAACACTGATCAGCTATCATTGCTAACATGTAAGCCAGCATGTTTTGAGTGAATAAGACTTTCTATGAAGGACAAGACATCTCTCATATTTTATATTTGATTTGGTTATATTATTTAAATATTATCTTAATCTGTATTGGGCGACGCAGTGGCGCAGTGGGTAGCACGTTCGCCTCACAGCAAGAACGTTCGAACCTCGGCTCAGGTGGTGTTTCTGTGTGAAGTTTGCATGTTCTCCCTGTGTTCGCGTGGGTTTCCTCCGGGTGCTCCGGTTTCCCCCACAGTCCAAAAACATGCGGTACAGGTGAATTGGGTAGGCTAAATTGTCTGCAGTGTATGTGTGTGTGTGAATGAGTGTATGTGAATGTTTCCCAGAGATGGGTTGCGGCTGGAAGGGCATCCGCTGTGTAAAAAACTTGCTGGATAAGTTGGCGGTTCAATCCGCTGTGGCGACCCCAGATTATTAAAGGGACTAAGCCGACAAAAAAATGAATGAATAATCTGTATTCCCAAACTTGAACGAAAGTTTTTTGGGTTTGCCATAAAACTGGACATGGGTTTGAACTGTCATGAAAGTGAGTAAACGATGACAATATTGATTTAAGGGCAAACTAAATAAAAACAACAGTATTATATAATCATTTAAATCTACAATTTGACCCAAATTAAATAAGTGTTTACCTGTCTCGCTTTTCCTACAATAAAGTAAATTCCTTTGGCAATTGACCAATTAGGCTACAACCCAAAATTAAAAAAGTAGTGATTTCTAATTTTACTTTGACTTGTATTTCCATATAGACAATAAAATCTAAAACACGTCTTTAAATTTTGGTTCTTGCAACACGTTTCCACTGTGTAATGGTCCATCCCAGATGCCTCCGAGCCCAGAGATGTCGACGGCGCTTCTGGACACTGTTAACATAGGGCTTTTTTTTTGGCACAGTACAGTTTAACTGCCATCTGTGGATGTAACTATGTGTTGTGGTACTTGACAAAAGTTTGCCAAAGTATTCCTGAGCCCATGTGGTGATATCACTAATACAGGGCTCGAAATTGTGACCATTTTGGTTGCATATGCGCCCGAAATTTAATATGCCACCTAATAATATATTTGGGAGTATTTGTGCGACTGCACATAATGGTTGTAGTGCGACCTGTTTTTTTTTTTTTTCTAAAAACATGCTAAATCGGTCTTCCCTGCTGTTATATTGCTTCTTATTAGCTGTTAATCACTCAAGACTTTCCGCTGTCAGATGACAGGGAGCTTTTGTGACTGCGGGTAATGCAAACGGCTGAAGAGTGAAAAGTACACTGAATCTCGATGCGTTGCATTCACTGCTTGTTCAGCGCAAATGTCCGCTAAAATGTAAAATCTAACACTGGACACGCATTGCTAAAGAAGATCGCCTTTACTAAGTTTAAATTGATGCGGCTTGTAACAAAGAACGGTATTGCGCCAGTGGTCATCGGGAGAATCTTGCTTGGCCCCCCTCATATATTGGGTCGGCTGACTCGCCAGACTGAGCATTAAAATAACATAAACCGAAACCAAAACTTTAAAAAGTAAAACTTTTTTTCCTTTTTTTTTTGTCCGTTCTTTCTTGACATGAATATTATTTTTCTATTTAATTACTGATGACTGCTTTGCAGCTTTCAGCCTTGAATTAAATTATTTATTATAGGCTTTTGTTTGTTTTGTAGCAGAAATATTATTTATTAAATTGACATGCATATAAAAACAAAAGTGTAAAATAAACATTTCTTACTGCAATGCTTTATTTGTGTTTGAGGCAAACCATACATGTATTTTTCATAAAGTAACAGCAGCACTTTTTATAGCAGATAACTCACACTCAAGCACATTCAAGGCAGCATGATAATAAGAAATGCAATTCATTTTTAGTATTAATGACATCATCGTCATCATTAATATTTTATAATTATTGCACAAATATTAAGTCATCACAGCATTAGTTAGATAGTTGTTTCTGGTTTTTGTTAGTCCTCATTGATGTTGTTTTCAAATACAATAAATCCCTTAATATAACATTTACATCGATGCTCATTCATTTTTGGTGGGTGCTCCAAAAATTTTTTCTGGTGCTCCTACATTTTTTTCTGCTGCTCCTAAATATTTAAAGTTGGGAGCACCGGTGCTACCAAGCAAAAAGTTAATTTCGAGCCCTGCTAATAGATGAATGACAATTCTTGGTGCAGTGCCACCTGAGAGATCGAGATCACTGTAGTTCAGCTTAAGCTTGCGCCCTTGTCCTTCACACACTGAAATTCCTCCAGATTCCTTAAATCTTTCAATTATGTTCTGCAATGTTGAAGGTGAAATATCCAAATGTCTTTTCTATCTTGCTTTAAGAAACTTTGTTATTAAAAAATGTTGGTAAACCGGCAATCCTTTGCCCATCTTTGCCTCAAAAGGACTACCTTTCATGCTGCTATATCTTTCTTAGATGCTGCTTTTGTACCAATTCATGATTACAATCACCTGTTGGCATAACATATTTCAAATCACACCATTTAACCAATTTACCTGATTACTAGTCCTAAATTGCTCCTTCCACAACTTTTATTGAAATTTGTTGCAGGTCTAAATGACAGAAAATGATGTATATTTACAAATTAAATGAAGTTGACCAGACAAAACATGAAATATTTTGTGTTCATATTGTCTGCAATGAAATCCAAGTCAAATTTAGAAGTCACCACTTTCCTTTTTATTTGTGTTTTCCATACTGTCCCAACCTTTTCTGATTTGGTTTTGTATGATAGCACATGATAATATCTAATTTCAATAGATTTGTACATTTTTACTAGACATTCAATAGAAAAATCTTCTTTTAATAAAAGAAAATGTGTTTACTATTTAGTTACAGGCAAATTGTTAACACTCTTTAATTCTCTATCCATCCAGGCTAGTGGTTCCAAATAAAGGCTATTCTTCTTTAGACCAGAGTCCAGATGAGAAACCTTTAGTTGCTCTAGACACAGACAGGTAAGCTCTTCACTCATCCTGCACTCATTTATTTATGTCCCCATCGGCTCTGGATCTCAAACTAGCTGTCTTCACTTTCACAGCGATGACGACTTTGACATGTCTAGATATTCCTCGTCAGGATACTCGTCAGCCGAGGTGAGGTCTCTAAGGGAACAGGTACCTATGAACTCTGGTTAATGTCCTAAGCCCCCCATACCACAAGCATCATGACACTGGATGTCCTGCTCAAAAATCACCCCAGTCCTTTAAGCTCTGGATTCACTTTTATCTAAAAATGTTAGTTCATCCCAAAATGAAAGTTCTCCTCATATTACTTATATTTGATTTAGTTCTGGACCTGTAAGGAATTACTTGGGAACCGAAATGTAGATATTTGAGCTAAATCTGTCCCTGTATTAAAGTCTATTCACCCTTAAGTCTTCACAGAGAAATCAAAAACTAAATCCATATGAACTGAGTGGTTTAATCCAAATCTTCTGAAACAAAATCTCTTTAGATGGTGAATATATTTTATTCAAGTAAACAATGTTTATAAGACTTTATTAGTTAATCAAAATGTAATAATTTGCATATCAGTTGTCATGTTAAATTACTGATAACCAAAGAGGAGTATTTATGTCATGACATGACAACTCTCTGAGAGATTTCTTATGATAATGAATACATATTATATGGCAATGTTTATGAGTTTGCTGCTACAGACTTGCTACTGCCATTATATTCCCAGACATAATGTCTAAAAAATACACACTGCTGCTATAAATATAACATACAATTGAAGTCAGAATTATTAGCCCCCCTGAATTATAAGCCCCCTGTTTATTTTCCCCTAATTTCTGTTTAATGGAGAGAAGATTTTTTTTTCAACACATTTCTAAACATAATAGTTTGAACAACTCATCTCTAATAACTGATTTATTTCATCTTTGCCATGATGACAGTAAATCATATTTTACTAGATATTTTTCAAGACTTCACAGCTTCTTTACAGCTTAAAGTGACATTTAAAGGCTTAACTAGGTTAATTAGGTAACTAGGCAGGTTAGGGTAATTAGGTATGTTAATGTGCAACAATAGCAACAATGAGCCACAGCCATATTACCCTACAGCCCAAGACCGGTTACTCACTGAAGCTAAGCAGGGCTGAGCCTGGTTAGTACCTGGATGGGAGACCACTAGGGAACACCAGGTTGCTGTTGGAAGTGGTGTTAGTGAGGCCAGCAGGGGGCGCTCAACCTGAGGTCTATGTGAGTCCTAATGCCCCAGTAAAAGTGAAGGGGACACTATACTGTCAGTGGGCGCTGTCTTTCGGATGAGACGTTAAGCCGAGGTCCTGACTTTCTGTGGTCATTAAAAATCCCATGGCACTTCTCGTGAAAGAGAAGGGTTGTAACCTGTGTCCTGGCCAAAGTCCCTCTATCAGCCCATACGATCATGGCCTCCCAATCATCCCCTTCCACCGAATTGGCTCTATCACTGTCTCTCCACTCCACCAATAGCTGGTGTGTGGTGAGCACACTGGCGCCGTTGTCCTGTAGCTGCCGTCGCATCATCCAAGTGGATGCTGCACGCTGGTGGTGGTGTAAAGAGTCCCCCCCTCATGATTGTGAAGCGCTTTGGGTGTATGGCCATACACGATAATTGCGCTATATAAATACACATTACATTAGTTTGTTCTGTAGACTATCAAAAAAATAAATAAATAAATAAATAAATAAATATTATATTATATATTATATTAAAAACGATAATAAAGGCTTTTATTCTAGCTGAAATAAAAACAAAAAAGGCTTTTTCCAGAAGAAAAAATATTATCAGACATAGTGAAAATTTTCTTGCTCTGTTAAACATCATTTAGAAAATATAAAAAAATAATAATAATAAAAAAACATTCAAAAGGGGACTAATAATTCTGACTTCAACTGCACCTGTGACCCCCAACAAAGCGGGAGAGCATGAAGACAACACAAGCTAATTAAAGTTGATTATTGTATAAACAACTGTTGCATAAGCAAACATGCATATATATCTGCACAAACCGACTAAGACAGGACAAATGAACACCCCACAAAACGAGCACATCTATCGCCAAAATGCATGTCATATGTGAAAGCAAAGCTGCATGTTTTACTATCTATGTGTGCCTGGGCTACCTTGCGGTATGGCTAAACTATAGTGAACTAGACTATGTATGCCTAGGCTACCTTGCTGATGGGCTTAATGCTAGTGTTAGTGTACTAGACCATGTGCACCTTGGCTAATTTGCAGACCAGCTTAAATTTAGTGAACTAGACAATGTGACTTTGGGCTCACTTAATGTGAACACTCTTCGGCACTCCCAAAGTGAAGTACCAAACATTAAAATAAAAAAAAACAAAACAAAATCAAATTAACAATGCGAAGAGCAAACTAAATTATTCGGAAACTAAACTTCATAACAATGACTAATGACTAAATTATAAATAATGACTCATTCAAGACGTTCAAAGGAACCGAGATGGTAGAAACAGATCCTGAATCCTGCCTCACTTCACAAACATACAAGCCACAAGAATCACAGAGCAGTCCTTCACAGCTTCAAATGATGTAACGCTCTTAACTGCATGATCGATAAGGAAGTGTTTTAGGTTTCCAAAATAAGACAAGACCCAAGACTGCGTTCAGCCCCTGACGTCACACACTAGCTGCAAATACTGCACAACAGCATTCATTCAAAAGACGATGAGTTGGTAATCATTGAAGCGGCATGCTGCCAGACACATTTACCATAGCTAATGGAACATTACTCTTGAAATGGCTGAACGAGTCAAATGTTTAAGCAGCAAGTAAGACATCAGTATCAAAAACCAAACACTGTTTTATAAACCGTTGCTTATATTATTTTAACACACACGAAAGTTAAATACATGGAGCTTCATATGAAACATATAAATGCTCTTTTAAATCATTAAGCAGGCCACAGCACATGGATAAATGTAAAAGGTTATCTTTTCTTACCTTTTGGATGTTCTTTGTGGATGATCCGTCTAGCAGATTGCTAAACCAAACAACACTAAGGTGTTTAAATGTTGAGGAGCAAGCTCATTGGCTGCTGAGCATCCAATCACATGTGGCTTGCAGTTGGAAAGGGCCTATCAGCCTGTGCGGCCAATAGAGCTTCATGAAAGAATTTTGTATCATTGCTACCTGTCATAGATACAGTATATACATTAGATGTCGCCTACCCTGTTGTTGTCCATTGGAAGGAATGCGTCAATAGAGCCGCCATTTTAGTACAGGGTAGCGCTCCTTTGAAATGAATGCGGGACCAAGCTGCAGTGGAAGACTGTGGCCATCTAGAGCCAGAGAATTACACATGTATACATATATCTATGATCGGGAGTTTTCCTGGAGGTCAGTATGCTAAATTATTTTTATAAATTACGAAAATTATATTTTACATCACTTTTCTACATTGATGGATAAGTGATAGCACAGGCATTCCTGACAAAAAGCTTGTGTTTGTGTGTATGAAATGTACTATCTACCCTCCTTGTTAGATTTGACCTAATTGGTGTCCTGAAACGCCTCCTCTACTGCTTTCACTTCTCATACTGACGGGGGGAACGATTCATTTGTGAACTCCTTCACTAGCCGACAATAATACAAGTTTTTGGCAGCACAGCATCTCGTTGTCATATTTCTTTTCGATTGTTTGCTGATTTTATTCAACAAAACTAGCATAAGCTGAGTATTTAGTGTGAGTTGGTGCTACTTTGCCTTATGGTGAATGCAGTAAGTGACTGTATTATCATCAATAACATTACCTGTATAGAACAAAAGTTCATAACATTCAAAAATGTAAAAAACTCAACCTTACCTATGTAATGTTCTGCCTCTGTGCTTTGTTTTCTTTGTTTGCTCGTTACTACACCAGTAGACAGCGCTAAAGTCCAGCATTTTCACGTAGTAACACTGTCTTGTCTAGTGCGGTTGAATGACACTTATCTTGGGAGCACTGTACCAATATGGCGGCACTATTGACGCATGCTCAGGGTCCCTATGCGATATCTAGTGTATATATCTATGGCTACCTGTCAGTGAGAAAATAGCTATGTTTCCATCCACCTATTTTTATGTAAATTTTGCTGATGCCCATAAAAAACAGTTGATGGAAATGGCAAGATGTGCATCAATTTTGAAAACACTAATAAAAAACGTATGCTCATAAATGAGTAAAGCCGCCTTTCCACTGCCCACGACATTTGGACATGACTGTCGGAATACGCCCCCTTGTGGCAGTCGCACAGAATTTTCAGTTCTGACTCGCACCATGGGAGAGAAGCTGTTCTGACAGTGTCCGAAATAAAGGAGTGCAAAAGCAAGAGCCTTTATTTCTGTGCGTTTACCATGGTTGAATGAATAAATAAATGAATGAATACTAGAAACTCATGAACCGCAAAAAATATTGGAGGGAATGTGGAGATAACATAAAAATATGTATTTTTATTTCTTTATTACTTACATTTATGAACCGAAATTTAGTTATTTTTCTGATTCAAAAAATAACCAAATAAACTAGTATTTCTCATCCTGCGTGCACGGACCTGCTTGGACAACACTATAATGCATCGAATCCGGTCGGCCGGTCGCATACGGTCTTGCCGCAGGAGTTCAAATATTTCAACAGATGCGCAGCTCAAATCGAATCCGAATTTTCCGCATACAGAGATGATCGGAACTCCACACAGCTCCCGCACTACTCTCCATTGGAAATGGATGACTTCCGGTCTGTCGCTTGTCACTTGTCGTGTGCAGTGGAAAGGAGGCTTAAGACTTTTTATTCGATAAGAAAAGATTTTGTTCTCTTTGACTCATTGGATGGAAACGTTGCTTTATTCACATGTCTATTATGCAATTTTCCAGTTTTGTGCATAAATTGAATTCGTATTTTTAGATGGCAACACTTTTACTTCTGATGAACAAGATGACATCACATTTTAATATTTCATTGGGTTAAGAAAGCGTCTGAGTTTGCGATATATTTGCCCTACTGCAAAACATTTGCTCCATCTAGATGTGTTAGCAGGTGTGATTGAGCTTTTATTTATGTTGATATATAAATCACAACAGCTTAAATTAAATCTGTTCATCATTTAAAAGGTAAACATATCTCTTCAGAAGACTTGGATTGAGCTTCTTGGTTTGAGTTTTGGGAGGGTTTTATTTACAGCAACATCTATAAGATTTGATAAAAAAGATCTTAAAATCAGTTTGAAAGATAAACAACATGAGAATTTTCATTTCAGGGTGAACTATCCCTTTAAATTTTTCATTATTTTCCTATAAAGGTCACCACTGCTCATCTGTTGTTGCTGTGAGTCATTTCCATGCTGTTGTTCTTGTGTCGTTGAATCATTAAACCAATAAACGTCCTATTGAACCAACCCTGTCGTCTTATTAATCTATCAAATTACCACTGGCAGGAAAAAAAGAAAAAAAATCTCATTAATTGATCTGCTTTATAAGCGGTGGTTACTGCCTCACATGTTGTTGGTTGTTTCCTGCAGCAGATAAACCAGGATCTGAACATCCAGCTGCTGAAAGACGGATACAGGCTGGATGAGATTCCCGATGATGAAGACCTGGACCTTATACCGCCCAAATCCGTCAACTCCACCTGCATGTGCTGCCAGGCCACCTCCTCCACCGCTTGTCAAATCCAGTAAATCCCTTTCATAACCACAGATAACACATCTAATCAATATTACAGAAGGAAATGTACAGTAAACATTATAATGAGCAGGAACATGTGAACACACACACACACACACGCACACACATTAACTCTTAACATATGATTATTATTGGTTGCTTCCTCCTATGGCAGGATATGCACTGTTTGCTAATGCGCTAGGAGAATCTGCTCACTTTCACCTCCTAGCCAGCATTGTGTTATACTGTACAAGTGAACGTAGAACAAATAAAGCATTCAAGTTGCTTTAATTGTGAATTAAAAAAAAAACTACTCGATGTTCCAGAGAGTTTGAAATAGCTTATCCACTGGATTCTCTGCTTTTATGTTGCACTCATCGCATTAACGTCGTCCTTATGGTAAGATTTGATTTTCGTACGGGTTCTGGTTGGATGTTTGTTGTTCGTGGCTGCTATTGAGGCTAAATTTGGGTCTGTTTCTGTTGAACATTTCTTGCATGTTGGTGCATTGGTACTGCAGCGCTAACGTTAGCCTTGTCTGGCATGCACCTGGACATCACACTCTTTGTTTGGTTTACTCTCTCACCTGTGTGGATTTTGTTGAATCATGTTCGAAACGCCACTTGATATGACATGTGAGAGAAAAGAGTATACACAGAAACCCATCATTTGGAGTTTTATTTAGCGAGGCTGTTGTTATATTGGTCAGACTTTACAAAAAGGTTTCATTAGCTAATGCTAGTTGATGTATTTATCAACATGAGCTAAGAGAGAACAATACTTGTACAGCATTTGTTAATCATAGTTTAACGTTTACTAATGCAGTATTAATTAACATTAACATTGATGAATGCTGTAATAAATGTATTGTTCGTTGTTTGTTCGTGTTGTAAACACATTAAGTAGTACAAGTAATGTGCATATATATAGCGCATTTGTGTATGACCATACACCCAAAGCGCTTCACGATCATGGAGGGGGGGTGGGGGGTCTCTCCACACCACCACCACTGTGCAGCATCTGGAGAGGGAGACCGGAGAGACAGTGATAGAGCCAATTCGATGGATGGGGATGATTGGGAGGCCATGATGAGTATTTGGTCAGGACACCAGGATTACACCCCTACTCTTTATAACAGAGGTGTCCAAACTCAGTCCTTTACGAGAAGTGCCATGGGATTTGAAATGACCACAGAAAGTCACGACCTCCGTTTTAACGTCTCATCCGATAGACGGCGCTCACTGAAAGTACAGTGTCCCCTTTACTATACCGGGGACAGACTGCAGGTTGAGTGACCCCTGCTGGCCTCACTAACACCACTTACAAAAGCAACCTAGTTTTCCCATATGGTCTCCAATCCAGGTACTAACCAGGCTCAGCCCTGCTTAGCTTCAGTGAGTTGGGCTGCAGGGTGAAATGGGTATGGCATACAACCTTATTGTAAAGTGTTACTATTATTTTCACAGTAAGCTATCACTAAAGATGATAAATCTCTTACATAAAGACGTTTCTGTTTTTCATAGGTCAATCAATGGGTACGATTTAATCGCTGTTTTGACATTTTGAGGATACTCTTCTGTTTCCTAGACACAGACATGTTGTATAATTAATGCACTTGTTAGCTTTCTTACAATAAGTATTGTTTAATTAAGAATAAATAACACACGAGTAGGCACCAAAGAATGTTGTTGGAATCATTTTACACTGTGCGAAAAAGTCATTTCTAATTTATATCTGATGATCACTGCATTTCACTGGAAATCAGTTCATTATGGGCTGTTTAAATTATAAGCACTGTTTTCTTTTAGCCTTTAAAACTCAACTAAGAATGTTAACGTTGCTAATATGTTCAAATTCCCTGGCCTATCTTTGCATCTATTATTATCAATGAGGAAACTGCATTGTTTGTTTACACACTATATTGTTTTCCAAATCTTCCCCTTTCGTTCAGCTTTAAAAGCCATTTTCTGTGTTCTCTTTACACGCTACACACCATCCTGATCAAGCTGTATCTCAAAAGGCAAGCGATTCTCATTTTAGCTGCTCATGTTCACTTTTTGGTCTGTTTGAACTTTGACTAAAATGTGTAATGATGACCTGATGTATTCAATTCAAAGCGTATTCAAAGGTGAGCATTTGTTGGACAAAAGCTGTGTTTTTATGTTATGACTATGTGAGGAAGTCCATTTATGTATTAACAATGTTGTTATCGGTTTCAGTGATATCAATAAAAGCAGATCTGAATTACACTTTTCTTTGTTTTAATTTACCCTTTATGTACATCATTTACAGTTGTAGGGAAACCCAGACTGTGATTGTTACAGAAATGACAGGGATGTAAAAGTACAGATTATTTATGTACAAAGGTAGTGGCTCACAGTTTATATACAGATAGAGCATTGACATTATGCTACTGAGAAGACTTTTGTAAACCACTCAGTATCTTAACTACAGTCTGCAATCTAAGACACGAGTGCTAAACCTCACAACAGAAGGCACAGATTCAGCATTTCACAATGACTGTGTGTCGTGAATTCAAGCTCACAACCTGTTCAACAAACAGACTACCAGATAATTCTTGACATTAACAGCCAAATTGATCAGTTTTCACAACATAAAATATAAAAAAAACTGTACAATTGTTGCTGAATAAAGATCCACCAGACGCACTGATTGTGATGTACAATTCTGTGCTTGTGTCTTTTAAAGCACAATGGCTGATCCTTAAATCTAGATTTAAATTACATTGTTTTGTATTTCAAGTAAACAGCTGAACAGTGGAAAGACTTCTTAACTCAAGTGAAGATGAAAAAGTATATATTACTCGCATGTAAATACTATATAGGCTATTAATAAATCCAAAAGGTAGCAGGGGAAAATAATAATATTTGTTCAGCTGTGCAATATATGTATATTAAAGGCACGGCTCTCACCTTGTGTTATAACAGAAAACACCTGTAGATGGCGGTGGTAAACCACTAATAATAATGAGCGAGCCTCACAACCACACTAATGAAAAACGAACACCCCTGTTAAAATATTCTAGTCTACAGTAAATAAGTTACATTCTTCCTCATAAAAGATTCAAATAATTACTTATCATTGCTTAAAAAACACAAAAAAGCGTGATTGTGTGCGTAAAACCTCACACGTTGTCAAGATAACCTCGAGTGAGTTACCTAGCAGTTGTACAAAATCAAACAAAACACTGAAGTCAACCGCTGCCCCACTAAACAACACTAAAGAACATTCATAGCTGTATTTTTAAAACATTCACTTCCCATATTGGACCACTGCAGAATCTGACACTTCAACAAGATCGTTAAAATGTGTTTGTTTTACCACTCACCGTATATCTTTACATAGAAAACAAATAAGAGTGAATTTACCTTGTCACAGCGGGACCCCAGCTAACAGAGGTCATTCACAGAACATTGGCTAAAATTCTGGAACAACCAGTACTCCGGGAGGTTTGTTCAACGTTATACGGTTTTATCCCCTTAACTGCCTGCTCTACCAAATGGTTGACAATATTTTGACTGTTTTTAAATAATGACTGTTAAAGTTATTTAAATCATAGGTCTTTAACTCGATTCCTAGAGGGCCGCAGCTCTGCAGTTTTGCTCCAACCCTAATCAAACACAGCTGATCCAAATAATGGAGATGAGGTGTTCAAGAGTCCTAAACACCTTGAATAGTTTGATCAGCTGTGTTTGATTAGGGTTAGTGCAAACTCCGGGAATTGAGTTTGATGACTATGAATTGACTATGATTTAAAAGAATGGCATTGTTGGTTTACAAAAAAACTAAATGGGAACAACAATCAAACATAATCCTATTGCACTACTACACTTGATTTTGGTTTAATTGTAAAAATAAATAAACAAAAAAACATGTTAAATGAGAATCTGAAATATTTTATGGCATATTTCAATAAATAAAGATGATTTAGTATTCTAAAATGTTTTATTTTGATTATTTCTTTAAATAAATTGGTCTTGCACTTCATATTTTTCTGATTTTTATAGTATATGTATTAATTCTGGTAATTTTACCATAAACTGGCATGTCAACCATTTGGTAGAGCTTGATATTTATTAAATTATTTGATGTTTTGAAAGAAAATGCATTGGGTGTGTTAACTAGTGACATTAGGAGTTAAGAAATCCAATCCAAAAATGTTTTTCTTGATGGGGCAGTTAAAGGGATAATATTCTCAAATTGTCCACACAGAAATGTTTTTTTCCAACTTAAATGTTTTAGCTGGACATTTACCTTTTTATACTTACCAGATTGTTCAGAACAGATTCAAAAGTAGGCTATATTTACAAAATGAATTTAACAATGTCAAAATAAAATAGAAATTATACTTGGCAAAGACTTTTTTGGTTCCCAGAACGTTCCTAAAATGTCTCCATTGGTTAGGAGGAAAACTCTCTTTTCTGCACTCTGAGTTGTTTCCAACAAACCTTTCTGCTATGTTCTGGGAAGATGGGAACATCATGAACATTATTTTTTATATACATTTCTGGAAACATAATCAAAATGTCCTTAGAGGTAATTTTGTTAGCTGGCTGTGCAGAAAATCTGCTTACTCTGTGTTGAAATCAATTCAGTGTTTATGCTGGGGGAGGTTTTTCATTTCCTTGTTTGTTTGTGGCAATATAATAGAACAACAATGTTTGGTTCCCAAAAACATTTTAGTGATCTTTTTTAGAAAATATTTTTGTATGAAAAACATTTCAATAATCTAAAGATCTCATGTTGTTTTGTTTTTTAACTATGACTTCTTGTGCAAGATTTTATGGATGTTGGCGGTTCTTTGTGGAACCAACAAATGCCAAAAAAGACACTTTTAAATAACCCTCGGATTAAAAGTTCATTATTCATTGTTCCTGCTTGATGATTTCTGCACGTGTGATATTCATTGTTTGTTTTCAGAATATTTTGTTTGTCTCTATCACGCAACACGCCTGATATCTTACATCACCAACTCACTAGCAGAGACTCCTGAACGTGTTGTGTCAGGTAGGAGGGACAGTCAAAATGCTTAAACACCAGCAGACATATGATCGCTGGAGCCAGAGGAGGATGTGGATGTTGAAGAGTGTCGTCTTCGCCCGGCGTGACCCTGGAGCATACTGGGGTGGAAGCCAGCGTGTCTGCGGGCGTGTTTGGTGAGGTGGTCGCTTCTCATGAAGCATTTGTCACAAAGTGGGCACATGAAACGCTTTTCCCCCGTGTGTGTGCGAAAGTGTCTTGTCAGTTCATCCGAGCGAGAGAATTTTTTTGCACAGCCAGGCCAGGTACACTGAAAGGGCCTCTCACCTATGAATAAACAAACGAGAGAGAGAGAAATTTAACTGTGATATTCAAACAAAAAGTACCATTTGATGTTTATTTTACTCATCCTCTAGTCTTCCAGTGACATCTTTTTTTTTTCGTTAGAACATTAAAGAATTAAAAAAGACTTTTAAAATAATCATGATTATTTAAGTCATGATTATTTATAAAATGATTTCTTGACATTTTATGAAACTTAGAAATTCAAAAAACAAATGCAGACAAATCAAATTTGATACCTGTGGCTCCCCAGCAAGTATTTTTTGTTTTGGAAGATGTCTAATAGACGTCTTAACATAGTAGTCTTAGCTAAAGTCCTGTTTTAGCCAAGCTGTATAAGTTTAGAAGTCTATTATACGTCTATTAAACACTAAATTGTTTGCTGGGTCATGACAATGTCACCATGTGATAGTGTGTTCACACTGATCACCATTTGCTGCAGTGGATATTGTAAATAATACTCAGTTTCTTGCACATGTTGGTCATTTCACTTGATAAGACCTCAGAAATGTATTAAAAATATTTCCTTTACTCAAAGTGCCAGTAGCCGTTGACTTGCTTTCTCTGAATAACCAAGTCCCATGGTTTAACTTAAAAATCTTTAATGTTCTACTGACAAACTTTTTTGCAGTTCTTGGCCTGAGGATGAGTAACAGCAAAAAAATAAAAAAAGAATTAAAGACAATTGCTGTTATTTTAGCTTCCACTCAGAAAAAAAATGCAACAAAATAAACGGCACATCCAAACTTATTCCATGCATATAAACATCTGTTCACAGCCTACAATCGAAATATAGACAACTTGTAAACGCAGGTTATCGGTGTACTGTTGTGGATAAACGCACTGGGAGGGGCTGCGCTTGGCAACAATGCGGCACCACGTGCCGGATGTTTACAACTGTGGAGTCAGGAGGTGTGTGTGCATGACGTCAGTGCTGCGTTAGGTTATATGCGGTTACTTTAGCGAGTGTCGCATTGAAGTATGCGGATCATCAAGCACCACTGACCACGACTACCACTACTAATTACCTGAATACAATGCAAACGGCCTAACATGCATATCAACCCATATGAGGTCAAAAACTGAATTTAATTCTCGATATTGATCCTAATAAACATACAAGCCTGCACACATGACGAGCTACGCTAGTATTTTCTTATATCCACACAATTACGCAACTATGGTGTCCTGCGTAACAATATGTGGACTAAGCAACATGTTTGCTCACACTCTGATTAGTAACACCGTGTTCTGTTCCACCCTCATGTGTACCCTTGAGCGCTCCGCCCGCGGTTACACCCACCGCTACATGAGTGGCAGTTCCTGAAACCCAAAGCGTTCCCGAGAAGCGCAGAACGCGTGCCAGACACGCCAACAACCCCAGTCGAGTTACTGCTATTAGTTAGTTTAATTAATCGTGCACACAAACACAATCATGATCCAACTGCGCTCGTGTCTTACCGGTGTGAACCCTGAAGTGCGCCTTCAGATGGGAAGACTTGCCGTATATTTTACCACAGCCTGCATACGGGCAGCAGTGTCTTTTCTCCGCGGATGCGTGCAGTCGGTCGCGCTTCCGTGTCCTTTTAACCCTGCCCGCAGTCTGTTTGCACTTCTCCCGGTTCTCCCGATTCTCCGCATCACTGTCCACTATTCGCTTGGCGCTGATGCCGCTCGGTATGCACTGGTTTAAGTCCAGCAGAATCATTGCGACCATCAACAGAGTCCGGCTTTCTTGACTTTCTTCAGACCCCTCCTCGCCGGTTAGTTTGTCGGAGCGCTCGACGTTTGAAACCGTCCCCAAGGACCTTGCTGCAATATCTACGTCCGTCATCGTAGTCACCCCAAATGTGCTGTAAATGTAGAAGTAAGCCGGTGTAAAAGAGCAGTAAAACTTAAATGGCAGTGTGGGGGGTTGTCATCATCTGCGCATCGGGATTCAGCAGACTCCAGAAAACGTGGTTTCACGCCTACACGTGTCGTTCCCAATGTGACTTGGATGAAAGAGTGTCCAAAAGAAGGATAAAAGCTTGTGTTTCTTGTGTCTACAAGTTATCGAAGGGACATCCTAGGTGCTTATTCCCAATCTTGTATTAGCCACACGAGACAGCGTGGAACTACTGCGTACTGTCATCCCCTTCTTCCCTCATAAGTGCGTCAACTGTATGTCTGTGCCGCTGTTTGCTGTTCCCATCTGAAAGAAACTACTTCGCGGAATCCCAAGGTGTCATCTTGAACCTCGCCGCTGATTGGACGCGCTGCTGGAGAGCGACGCTTTGAATGCTCTACCAGGAATCACCTAGGCAGCGTGTGATTGACAGGCAGGGCAACCAATGGTGTTGTGAGCTTCAGATGAAGGCGGTGTCGATGTGGCAGGAACTTAGTGTGCCTTCCTTCAGCACCAGATGTACACTGGTTGTACAGTCGAAGACTTTGCTTCTAAAAAAGGTTTTTGAGACTTTGCACAAAGCTGTGATGCCAGGGGAGTAATGTAAATGCATGGAGAAAAACATGCATGTATTAATATATTATTTTAACCGAACATTTATTAAATAATAAATGAATAAATCAGATTAAAATGATTTCAGACATATATTATTTATTTTTCAGAAGCTGTGTATGCATGTAAACAACCATATAGATATCATTTACATTTTAGGATGAGGGTTATCACAGTCTAAAAAATACTTGTTAAGTGGAATCCAAGTAACCTTATGAGTCTATTGAACTTATATTATGTTAAACTGACTTAAAACAGCCTGTGTAACCTATAAAATTAAGTTAGAACATGATTAACTTACACTGTAAAAAAAAAAATCAGTCATTTTACTTTTTTTTTTTCCGGCAGCTGGGGTGCCAGAAAAAAAACACAAAATAACAGTAATTAGAGTACAGAAATTTACTGTAAAATAACGGTCATTAAATTACAGAAATTTACTGTAAAATAACGGGCATTAAATTACATAAATTTACTGTAAAATAACGGGCATTAAATTACATAAATTTACTGTAAAATAACGGGCATTAAATTACATAAATTTACTGTAAAATAACGGGCATTAAATTACATAAATTTACTGTAAAATAATGGGCATTAAATTACAGAAATTTACTGTAAAATGATGGGAATTAAATTACATAAATTTACTGTAAAAGGATGGGCATTAAATTACAGAAATTTACAGTAAAATAATGGACATTAAATTACAGAAATTTACTGTAAAATAATGGGCATTAAATGCCAGGAATTGACTGAAAAATAATGGGCATTAAATTACAGAAATTTACTGTAAAATGATGGGCATTAAATTACTGAAATTTACTGTATATGGATGGGCATTAAATTACAGAAATTTATAGTAAAATAATGGACATTAAATTACAGAAATGTATTGTAAAATAATGGACATTAAATGACAGATATTTACTGTAAAATGATGGGCATTAAATTACAGAAATTTACTGTAAAATAATGGGCATTAAATGACAGAAATTTACTGTAAAATAATGGACATTAAGTGACAGAAATTTACTGTAAAATAATGGGCATTAAGTGACAGAAATTTACTGTAAAATAATGGGCATTAAATGACAGAAATTTACTGTAAAATAATGGGCATTAAATGACAGAAATTTACTGTAAAATGATGGGCATTAAATGACAGAAATTTACTGTAAAATAATGGGCATTAAGTTACAGAAATTTACTGTAAAATAATGGACATTAAATGACAGAAATTTACTGTAAGATAATGGACATTAAATGACAGAATTTTACTGTAAAATAATGGGCATTAATGACAGAAATTTACTGTAAAATAATGGGCATTAAATGACAGAAATTTACTGTAAAATAATGGGCATTAAATGACAGAAATTTACTGTAAAATAATGGGCATTAAATGACAGAAATTTACTGTAAAATAATGGGCATTAAATTACAGAAATGTACTGTAAAACAATGGACATTAAATGACAGAAATTTACTGTAAAATAATGGGCATTAAATTACAGAAATTTTATGTAAACAATGGACATTAAATTACAGAAATTTCCTTAAACTTAAATTTCTGGTAAGTTTCTGTTTATTAACCTCTGTTATTTTACAGTAAATTTCGGTAGTTTAATGGCATTTTTTTTCCCGGCACACCAGTTGCCGGAAATAAACCGTAAAATTCCAGACTTTTTTTTACAGTGTAGTTTAATAAGCAACAATGAACTAAAACATAAGCTGTCATGATTTTTCATGTATTTTTTTACAGTGCATAAATAGTGGGTCTGAGGCATCTGAAACTAGTCAACATTTGAAGTGCATCAAAACATTTGATAAATGTTGCCTTAAAACTTATTTAACAACACCCATTTCTTGTCTTAGGGCAATTTTTTAAAAACCTTTTGTATCCACTTCAAATGTACAGTAGATTACACTATTGACCAAAATAAGCATGTGGGTAATACAGGCCCACATCTCCCTGGCATTGTGTCAGTAGGGTATATTTCCTGAGAACTTAAACACTAATGTTATTCCATGCCTTCTGCAACTGAAGCCAAACGCTTTCCTTTTAATAGTGTAAAGGAACATGATTATGTGACATTGAGAATGCAACAGGCCTAGCTTGTTTTGTTTTGTAAGGAAAATGACCTACATTATGATGACTGAGGCTCAGTTATGGTTTATAAGCATAGTGTTGACTTTGTACACATGTACAATTCATTTTATAGGCAATGTAATGGTCAATTGCACAAAAATAACTCAAGCCTTTTAAACATTCCAAGTGTTTTAAGTCTCTTTATGTGTTTATGGCCTAATGTGAACGTAACAACTGTTAAATGCTCACGACCCCTTTAAACGGAAAAGCGCAATAAATACCCATTTCCTCGTAGAACTTCAGCCCCCCTATCTGAGATTGACATGCAATGCACACTTTATCTCTCTCAGCCTTCATGGAATCTAGTTGCACAGATGCATTGAGCAACAACACGAGACTAACACGTTTCACAAAGTCCTTTTCACTTTAATAAGTCAGGTATACACTCTGCACATGAATCAATAGTAGAAGTTTTGAGGCGGGTCTTCGCGATGGACCACTGGAGAAGTGAGCCAATGAGAGCAAACGTAACACGACCCTTTTCGGAGTATTATCCCTACTCACGGAGCTTCACTCTGGGAAACATTTCTTGGAAAATATGGGAACAACACTCACGACCCCATTTCAGGAGTTTGTTCATAGGCATGATGAACTTGTACTTCTGACAAAAACAAAAAGCATTTAGACCTGCAGGCGAGAGCACGGTCCATGTACATGTCTAATGTCATTTACACTCTATTGACCTCATTTTGATACCTTTAGTCAGTGAACGAGATTTTATCATAGCAAGATGAACTCCAGGTGTTGCATTTATTTATTTATAATTTGTTTGCTGTATATAAGACGACGCTTATGTTTCAGGCCTTCAGCGAGTTGAGCTAATAAATCATCTCGTTTCTAACAACAGTGTCAATACTAGATGGGTCACGTTGTTGTTGTTATTTCGCTCTCAGCAGCCGCACACACACACACACACACGTGTCTGTTTTTGTGGAACAGAATGTACCATGAACTAGAAGTGAACTTGAACGCCTCCCTCCGATGCAGAAAGGACAGTGCAAGCAGCACTTCCGCTCTAATGCAGAGTCATGCTCGTGCTTTAGCAGAACAGCAGAGTTCCTCGTCTCCAGAAGACACTGACTGTACTCTGGGATTTCGATATGTTCAGTACTATAGTGCACTCTGAGGAGCTCTCTTTAGACGAAATGCAGAAGCCGGGTAATTCCTGAGACAAACGAGGTCAAAATAATAAATGCAAATCAAAAGCAAATTTGAAGTTTTTAACTCCGCCAGTTAAGTGGGTCAAACCAAGACAGACTCTGCAGACAACTCACCTACTTATGTAAATCTATATTAGTGTGTGGAGACAGTCTCAAAAATAATACATTCACGAAATAAAATTCATACATGCGCCACACAATTCATGTTTACAAAATCAAATTTGTGGGTTCAAAACACAATTCATCAATACAATACACAATTTGTGAATTCACAAGTAAAAATCATAAATATTGTCGCCAAATGAAGTGGATTTGTGTATTTATGACTCATGTTTCAATTTATGATTTATCAATCTTCTGAATTTAGAAGTTGGATTTGTGTATTTATGAATTGTGTTCTGAATTCAGATGTTGGATTTGTGTATTTATTAATCGGGTTTTAAATTTATGAACCAGATTTGTGTATATTTGAATCATGTTTTTAATTTACAAATTGGATTTATGCATATTTGAATCGTGTTTTCAATTGATGAATTGGATTCGTGTATTTATAAATCGTGTTTGAATTTAGACGTTGGATTTGTGTATTTATGAATCATGTTTCAGTTTAGACGTTGGATTTGTGTATTTATGAATCGTCTTCTGAATTTAGACGTTTGATTTGTGTATTTATGAATCATGTTTCAGTTTAGACATTGGATTTGTGTATTCATGAATCGTGTTTGAATTTAGACGTTGGATTTGCATATTTATGAATCATATTCTGAATTTAGCTGTTGGATTTGTGTATTTATAAATTGTGTCTGAATTTAGACCTTGGGTTTGTGTATTTTATGAATCGTGTTTGAATTTAGACATTACATTTGTATATTTATGAATCATTTTTTAATTTAGACATTGGATTTGTGTATTTATGAATCATGTTTAAATTTAGATGTTGGATTTGTGTATTTATGAATCGTCTTCTGAATTTAGACGTTTGATTTGTGTATATGAATCTTCTTCTGAATTTAGACGTTGGATTTGTGTATTTATGAATCGTCTTCTGAATTTAGCCGTTGGATTTGTGTATTTATAAATTGTGTTTGAATTTAGACATTAGATTTGTATATTTATGAATCATTTTTGAATTTATACATTGGATTTGTGTATTTATGAATCATGTTTCAGTTTAGACGTTGGATTTGTGTATTTATGAATCGTCTTCTGAATTTAGACGTTGGATTTGTGTATTCATGAATCGTGTTTGAATTTAGACGTTGGATTTGCATATTTATGAATCGTATTCTGAATTTAGCCGTTGGA